ATTAATATGGTATAAAAAAATTCATACCTTATAATTCAATATTTTTTCATCCTCACTTTAATTAAATAATAAAAAATAATAAATAATTATTAAAAATTATTTTTTTCATGAAATTATCTTTGGGTAAATGAGTTTTATGAGTGGGTGCAATTTTTTTTTGAATTGCTTCATTAGTTTTTAAAATATGACTGAAAACGCAAAAAACGAAATTAACATTAAAGGGTCCAAACTTTGAATCGCTCTCCTGAACAAACTATGGGGACCAAATTTCTCAGATTGCGCGGTTACTCCCTATATTTTGAAGATAAGGAATCCAAATATGCAAAAAAAAATTTATGTTTATTCAGAGAAAGTACGTTTTTGTGTCTGATTTCGTAACTTAATTAATAGTTAGCACTAATTAATTAACATATTTGAGGTCACCCCCCGGAACCATTAAGATTGGCACTTAGTTCGTGAAAATCCGATCATTAGAACGAAAGTTATTCAGGGTGATATCTTTTTTTTTTTGCGGACTGTTCACCCCAGCCCAGGAAGAGTTAGAAAACTTTATGTAATGACCGCCGCAAAAACACATTATGACATACTAATTTCGAATTCAGTATTTAATATAGTTCAGTAATGTCCAATTTCAGATCGGCAGTTTCAATTTCGCTTTTTTCTTATTTATTTATTTCTTAAAATTTTAAATTGAACAGAATGTATTTGATGATGAGGCGGCCACTATTCGTAACTCTCCCTTGACTAGGGTGTTCAACAATGGTGGTTAGAGAAACCAACTATGAACAAAGGTTGGTTCCTGCCAACGAACATCGCTTAATTCTCCCTCCGCATGCATTTTGTTGAATGCAGCTTCAATTTTGAATACGCGGATTTTCATTTGTTCCGGATTTTTTTTCTTCTCAGTTTTGAGAAACCCTTTTTACACTGATCTATGAAAAAACTTAGATGAACAATATCACATTGACGTTTCCCTTGTGACCTAATTCAAATTGTCTTTGCTGTTTTTTGCCGATGAGAAATAAAATAAAACTTGAAAACTAAAAGTTTGTGATGAACATAACTTGCAAAAAGAGTGCAGACATTTTATGTTAGTAAAACATTTTCTTTTTTCTTAAATGTATTTATATGTATAATGTATTTAATTCATTTGATATATGTAGTGCAGTATATTAGTATATCAATGGGGTATATCATACATTTTTGGCATAGTTCATAATCTGCAAAATGTGTTTAGTTTCGTATTTATACCAAGTTACATTTAGGAAAATAAACATAGAGCTCAGGCGATCAGGCAACATAGCAGGTTTTGCCACTCTTGGATTTAGTACGAAATAACTATTTTAGTTTTAAATTGACACAGGTATCCAAAACTGCTTATAAAGAAATATAAAGGCTAATCACTTATATTATCATAACTATATTGCTAGAAATATAGGATCACGTCCAACCATAATATGACTCGAATTTGCTACAACCTAAATACGTTGCCAATTAAATTATACAATTATGTTAATTAATGCAAAAAATTTGTGGCATGAAAAAAAAATATATAATGTAATGATTTAAAATGTATAGACACACAGTTCCATTTAGAACCTTATTAAGGTGAGAGCAAATATCGAAGATATTATGGTTCAATAGAGCAATACAAAGGTTCAACGCTGAATCGTATTTTTAGGGTAGTAAAGGAGTTTAATACCATAACAGAATCCATTCAAAAAATTTAAAAGTATTATTCATTATATCATACAAAATAATTTTCAAAACAGGCTTTCAAATGCCATTTTCAAAATATATTACTTTAACCCTTTAAGGCACGAGTTTCTTTCGCAAAAACTGGGAAAAAATGATCGAGTTCTTTTTGACAGAAAATGAATAAACTGGTATAGTGTAATTTTTTTTTTTTTTTGCAATTTCACTTGAGGGGGGTGACTAGGATGCAGAAATTAGTGCAAAAGTTATTAAAAAAATTACTGTACAAGAAACATGTAAACAATTTGGTTACAGGTTTATTTTGAATTTCGAAATATTAAAATCGAATTAAATCGAAATATCAGGTAATAATCAATAAATTAAATTAATGTATCAAATAGCTAATGATCAAAATGCACCATGTGGTTTACACAAGAAAAATTCTGCATATTGGTGTCATCTATGGTAAATAAATTTAATTATAATTTAGTCTATCCATTTTTACTACACTGTAAAAAGGCTCGGTAAGACCTTAGCCAGTATTTGGTGCAAAGTTTCTCATAATCCCTAAGCTTAGTAAAATAGAAGATCATTTTATTTTAATTACACCATAAATTGTGAAGTATGATTGAGAAATACTTCCATGATGCAACTGAATGCACCCACAATTTGGTAAAATACATAAAACTTTGACTGTAAATTGAACGATATTTGTTTACGACGCCATGTTTTCTTTAAAACTCAGTCTCGGGACGACTAATGCGTGTTGTGTCAACTCAGGTAAATGTTTTAATTAATCAGAGTTCATTTCTTTTATGCTGAATTTTTAAATTTGGCTGGCTGTATAAAACGGTTAGAGATCTGTCATAAAATAGCCTACTTCAGGTAAATAGTTTTGTTACGGTAACCTTAGCTTGCATTCGAGCTTTTTAAAAAATAACTAATAATGGTGAAATGACTCTGATTTTATAAAAGAAAAATCGTGTTTTTTCTAAACACCTACTTTTGGTGCAACCTTCAACTGATATTTGGAGCTAGTGAAAATATCAAAATATGGTAAAATTGAGCTCTGTAATTATGTAGCCAGCAAGTGAATACCGATTTTTGGTGCCATGAGGCTAGGAATTTCTAACAGTGCAGAACGGAACGGAACAGAAGGGCATTAGAAATAAAATAACATGAGATACGAAATTTATATTTGTCGGAAACTTTCGCCTGTGTCAGACACGGGCAAATGCATTAAGAGGTCAAGACATTTTAAAACAAAAATATCTATGTGGTTAATTAAAATATATCCTTGTGAATCCTTGTGAATAAAATTTCCTTTTTCTTTCAAAAATAAAAATGAGCTTTATGATTATAGAATGTATGTCAAACTTAGATTATCCAAATAAATTTATTAGCTGAATTGAAAAGCTTACCTCATGCTTCGAAAAACTTCTCCCTTATAATTGATTCTCAAAAATGTATTAGGTGTTGTGGCTTGATGGAAATATGCAGTTTTTTCATTTGTAAAAAAAGTATCTGGCACCCAAATCAGATCTGCTACTTCTGCACCAACTGTTAAATTATCTAAACCAGGTCTAGGCATAAAGTCGAGTCTATCATCTTTCCAAGATTGACGAAAATAAAAATCCAAAGTGAAATCCTGAAAGCAAAACTTATTTTGTCACTAAATTACATTTAAAAATTAAAAATTGCAATGGAATTAAGAAAGACATGTTAATTGAAAATAGTGTAAATAAAATATTTCTATAAATTTTCCACGCAATTTTTACTTGAATTTCATTCTATTACTTCTTTATATAAGCGAGTAGTTTAACACAAATCTTGTTATTTAAAAGCCTTAATAAATTAAATTGTGTAATGAATTCGTATTGATTAATTATTAAGACTGGAAAAACTCATTAAAAGTATAAAAAAATGGAATTAAACAAAAATGAAGACCAAAATTTCTATACAATAAATGAAAATGGAAAAGTGCAGCATAAAACCAAAATTGTCCTTAGTACACAATTTAAAGAAGAAAGGGAGAACTTTAATAAAAAGCAAACTAAATTTTAAAAATAAGCATATCAGCAAAAACTTCTTTAGGGGACACTCTACCATGCTAACAACATGCCTTTTGTACCAAAAACTGACTGTTTAATTTCGCTTTGATGTTTTCTGGCCATTTACTTTTTTAGGTTATTTTAACTGCAACTTTCTATTTGTTGATCTTATATGTTGACGTGCTGCTCTCAGAAAACTTTTGGATAATGTGTTTTTAAGTATAATTGTGTTTCTCTTGATTTCCTTTTTAATTTTAATGGTTGAATTTTTGAGACATTGTGTTTTTATTCCTATTTTGTCTTCCCTTTATGGGGCCTCGGGGCACATTTTTGGTTGAACCACTTACTACGGAAAAGCTCCAACATGTTAGCAGGGCTGTGAGTGCCTCTAAAAAAAGTACTGTTTTTACTGACATGCTTATTTGAGAAATTTCATTTGGCTTTTATTTTAAGTTCAAGACTATTTATTTTAATTGTGTCTTGAAGAGCCGCGATGTCTCAGGGGATAGAGCAGCGCCTTCTAATGAGGTGAACCGGGGTTCGATCCCGGAGATGGCTGGTCGATACGAATTCCGCATCCGGCTTGCACCGACCACAGTACTGCCGTGAAATATCCTCAGTGGTAGATGTATAGTGGGTTAGAGTCCCCGTGCCTTCAGGGTAACCGTGGGAGGTTCTCGTGGTCTTCCTCTCCATGTAACGCAAATGCGGGTTAGTCCTCCACGAAGGCAAATTTCTAACAATACTTAATCCAAGAAATCCCTTGTCTTCTGGATTGGATTCAAAATTACGAGTAGTCGTACATAAGTAGTCGTAAACCCAAAAATTTTGTCTGCAGTTCAACGACGGTTATAAAGTAAAATAAAAAAAAATTGTGTCTTGAAATGCATTTCATAAGGAAGCTGGGTATTATGGCATATTGTGGACCACCTTTTTAAACTATATTTATTTCCAATTTTCATGGAAGCATATTTTATTTCAAATATTAAAGCGGTAATAAATACTTTGCGTCCCTTTTTCTTGTGGTCATGCCAAATTTCCAAATGCAAAAAGCATAATATAAGAGTTTAATTTCTTGAATTTCACTGTGAAAAAATAAAAATAATGCAAGAAAAATCTTCTTTAGAGTCATATGATGAGGCATTAATGTGTCGACAAAAATAAGCGAAAGTTATTTAAATACATACAGCATAAAAATATTCTGTTACAATTACTTATGTTAGTCACAGGCGACAGACGACCAATTTTTAGAGACATAAAAATGACTCTTTTTTTCCCATTGTTAAGATATAAGAAGGCGTGGTTTGTAGTTTTTCTATTCTTATTTATTAAGATGTTATTGAAGATTTTCAATTATTTATTTTTTTCATTAAACAATAACACTTGTTAATAAATCTGTCCACCCACCTATTCTTAATAAAAACATTTTTAGAATTTAAAGATTTAGCCATACACTGTTAAGATTTCCATTATAAATTAAAGTAAATTAATCAGCAACAGTCTATACATTCAATTCACCTTAAAGTTTACTATGAATAACATGTTTTTTAACTTTCATGGTTTTAAAACCGCTTACAACTACCATGGTTATAAAATCATGAATACATAAGTTTATAGATTTTTAAAGATGTTATAAGTTTATAGATTTACGTAATGGGCGTTGGAATTAGGTTGTGTGGTTGAGATGTGCTTATTTTAAATGAACTGCGTAATGTAATTTAATTAGTTTAACTGGCTGTTTTACATATCGTAAAAGATGCAAAATACTAGTCTTTTTTGTGCTAAGCAGCTTTATGGTGCTGTCATCTACATGTGGATGAGAGTACAATGTTCTAATAGTTGATGGTAACAAATTGGGGAAAGCAGGCAACTTTTCATGTGTTGAAGGAAATATTGTGGTGTCAACGCAGGGACTCGAACCCCGGTTCAGTCGGTTATGAGATTGACAGAGTTACCCTTTCGGCTATAATATGTACCCATTTACAAGAAAGTGATAAAATGCGATGAAATTCTGGTTGCTAAACCGTATTAGGTGAAATCAGTAAATAAACGGTTTTTCTCACAGTATACAATTTTGAATTTGAATGATTATTAGACAGTTTTGTTTGAATATGGTAAGATAATAATTAAATAAAATGTCATTTAACCATTTTTCCAAGAAATTTTGAATAGAATGCAAGTAATGCCTGACGCTTTGGATACATAAATAAACTAACATTTATATTGTGAATTGATATAAGAGCAACCAATGTCAAACGTCCAAAATGTTGAGAACTAAGTCGTTTGTAATTCTTGAAAAACCAATCACTTAGTGTGTGTGAAGGAATCTCAGAAAAAGTTCTGTCATTTATTTCTTTTTTAATTTTAATGTTGGATGTTTTTATAAAAAGAATCCCTTTAACTTTTTCCGATCACATAAAGTATCGTCGAAAGTAACAGCAGTTGTTCTGGCATCAAGCCACAAATTAGAAAGATCACACTATAATTTTTTTTTTGATATACTAAATAAATCTTTAAAATTATAAAATATTCTCTGAACTTCATATTTTGGATACAATATGCCAGAAAGACAAATTATGACTAAAATAAAGTTAATTAATAAATAAAAAAATTTTCTATATTCAACGAACATACATATAAAAGAATTTCTTTTTTATATGTGATTTTTGTGAAGAAAAAAAAAACTAATTAGTGCACTTAATCGAGTAACACATATTTTGAAATTCTCTTAGGCAGATTGACTTTAATATTTCGTCTAAATAGTCAAAACATTCAAACTTCTTTATTTATAAATTAAAAATTAAACTAATTTATCCGTTATTGCTCGATCTATACAAAGACAAAAAAATAATCATCAGAAACTATTATTTATAAAATTAGGCAAGGTTATGAGTAGAAATAAGCATTTCATTAACGCAGTAAATCTAGCTATTAGACTATTAATTATTCTGAAAAAATTTGAGTTTAGAACATTTCATGAGATGAAAGAGTAAATCGTACGTCATAACGTCTCTGAACATCGTTATAATTACGTAGACTAACGGGAAAAATATTTGAAGTGTAACTTGCCAAACATAAAGAATTTGTTTACAAAATAATTTTCTAGAATACAATAATGCTGCTATGCTAAAAATTTATGATGTACACAAATTCCTGCTGTAACAAGTTTTATATATTTCATTCTGAGTATAGAAATATTTCTCCTCCGAACTATATATTTTAGTAAAATTATTTATAGATATTACAGAGAATTCTTGCTCAGTTCGTGATGAACGCTGTATACCGCAGCGAAGCGAGATTCTTACAGATTCTGTAAAGTAAATTTGAATAAAACAACACATAACGTCAATTTAATCTGAAGTTTTTTACAATATATTTGAAGTAAAATTTATATTAAAATAAACAAAAAAAACTTAAATTTCTGGAAAAATATACTTGGCTTTTCAGTTTTAATACACGCTTAAAATATTAAAATGTGGATTATAAATGTGGTACTTATAAAGATTTCGATTTTGTTCATTTGAATTATAAAAATCAAGAATCCTAGGTCAAGTAAAATAAGACAAGTTCGACTAAAATGGGTCGTAAAGAAAAAAATTTGGAAAATATCGTTCAGTTCTTGTTCAATATCAACTCAATAATGTTCAGACTTGTATCTGCTTCACATTTAGAAATATCTCGAAGAAAAAAACTAAAAGCTTATTTGGTATTTCAGCAACAGTCAATTAACCATAAATTAGATAGTATTCTAATTGTTAACTGTAAGAAATAGCACTAACTGCTTTCACCTAATATTAGAACAACCAACCAGACCAAAAACAACCAGAATTTTATTGCACCAATTAGTCCCACTTAATGAAATCACTTAGTTCCTTGCTGCTGGGCACAACCTAGAGGGCTAATCTGTCAATTTCATGACCGACAGAGCGGGGGTCTCAGCATTTACATTAGCACATGAAGAAATTCCAGTAATCTGCACCCAATGTAACCCCAATTTACAGTCCCTGACCAAATTATTAGACGCACTCTATGTAAAATCTTAATTATCAGGTCATACTATACAGATTTATTGTTTTTGCGCAACTGAAACCGGTTTGCACTTGTTTACGTTAGTGTATCAATTGGACAAATCAGACGATACATAATATGAATTTGACGATATGATAAATTAGATGATATATTATATAAATATAGAATATTTATTGTATGAAGAATTATATTAGTTTATATTATAATAATTAGATCAAATTATTAGACGCACTGTAGTTTTTTAATAATGACATGATTTGCACGAGTTTATTTGCAATACTTTTATATTTAAACATACATGTAATAGGTTTTTATTGAGGATATTTTTTATATAATCTGTATTTAACGTATTGCATTACAATGTTAACCAATTGATACAGGAATGCAGACCGAGTAAAAACAATACAGCTATCACCTGATAATTATAATTTGGCATAGAATCTTGTTGTGGGTCTAATAATATGGACTATTTGTTCAGAAATGTAGATGTAAATTTAATTAATACCAAATCTCCCCACCAGAGGGCTGATAATCAGTCTACATTGAACCACCAAGCAGTAAGCATTGG